TCAAATTGATCCTGACCCTTGCCTTGAAACCTTGCCGTTGCCTTCAGCGGGAGTATTCCCATGCAATAGAAGAACTAAGGCCCTGGCACCTCTTTTGGACTGTGAGAACAGTGCATCTTCTAAGTACATCATTAGCGGATAGCTCTGTCAAAGTCATGGAAGGTTTTGATCCATTTAGCTCGATTGTGGAATTGGTCCCCACTGTGCATTGCTGTGACTTGGTAACGAAGCTTGTCACCTACGTAAGTGAAGGTAGAACTGACCGCACAGTAGTAGTAAGACATCCGTCGAATGCGCCAAGCTCAATGGTCTCTTTGAGCACACCGGGAGAGATCTGCCATACATGCAGTTGGCTGCCGAACGTTCCCGAAACTGGAAGAAAGTTGACTTCATGACATTTCTCGTCTGGTTCCTTTTTAAATTTTATGGTAATCTTATTGCAACAATGCATGAGTAATTTTCGGCTAGGGTCCTAGCGCATTAAGCGCCTGTGCTAGGGGCATCTCCCATCTTCCGTTGGGTAGCGCTATTACCGAAAGGTTGATAACTTTGCGCAGACTATGAACTTCGAAGCGAACTGTTCGTGTTGCATTGCTAGTACTAATCGTGCCGAGCCCTTCGATGGGAGGACCGTAATTTGTGAAAAAGTTCCAAACGCCAGAGTTGACCTTAGTTACGCATCTTGCTGTGAGAGGGTTACGCGTAAATAACGCCTTAATATTTTGTTTGTACTAACCGAGCACATGAAGCTAGTTTTATGTGAATGAATAAATTTAAACTAACCCATGCAAAAGGATAACAACGAATAACCCTTCATCCAACCTGCAGGGTTTCGAAACCCACCATTCTCGATGTCGCTACGTGTGAAACCGCCGCGGAATAGTCGCGGATGTCCCCATTCACAGGCGATCAACAGATTCCGTCTCGTCTGAAACGAAAAGTCACCACCGAATCCGTAGAATCCACCACGATTGTGACGTTCGCGAATCTCGAACGAATGTCGATCAATCAACAAAAAATCGCCTAAATTTATGTCAAATATCTATGGTACAAGGAGATCTGAAGTGATGCAATACTGCAAAGAAATCATCTTCTTTTTACGGGGGCGACATAAATGTGATAACCAAGAAATTATGGCAAAGAAAGCACAACTCAAGTTCAAACGCGACGATTCGCTAGCGTCCGCGGTCGCGTTGCGGTACCAGCCAATTGAGTGATTCACTGGCCGCGACGCGACCGCAGACGCTAGCGAATCGCGCGATTCGCAAAGTCTGACATCGGCCTAACAATGGAATAGGTGTAAGGTCTTTAGGTTCAGTTGCTTCCGGTGCGAGTTTGGGCTCGTGGATACGCCTACAGCGGACAACTCACTGTCATTAGGAAGGGTCACACGTAGCGTGCCGCTGCAGAAGGGTAACTGGAGTACGCAAGCCGGAGGTAATCGTACTAACGATCTTGGAGCTCTTCCGCTATTGAATAGAAATTTATTGTGTGTGGATTTATCGCCTTTCCTCCCGATTTGAGGTTTCTGTGTCATAAATAAACACTATGCTACCACATGTAGTTATGGCGCACCCTCTAGCTATTTATTCACGTTACTCTCTCAATTTTGGCTACTTATTCAAATTCAGTCTATACATCATTTCTTGGTGTTCAGCGAAGTGCACTCCGTTTTCCGCTAGTGGGCCTGCCGTAATTGCAGACTTGTGCAATAGTGCACATAGTGCAGCACCAAAGTGCAAGTGCACCAAAGTTATAGTGTGTTGCACCATCATGACATCGGCACCAAAAGCACCGCAAAGCGAAAGGGATATGGATTTTTTAAGGCCATCAGCACACATGGAGAAGTCTGCAAATACGGCAGACACGGAAAGAAAGTAAGAGCAAAGTGCTCACTCCGACTGCTCTTCGTCTATCTTAGAAGCCCTATCTCCTCAGAATGGGGCCCAGAAAAACTGTTTCCTAGAACTTCCAGCGAAGAAGCTTTACTAAAAAAAAGCAAATTTTGCCCGATTTGTGTGATTGAACGCTTGCGGAATCTATGGTTCGATTCCAGTAGGAGTATAGTCTTTGGGGTACCGTCAAGAAGCAGCGTCACCCGTAACGATGTACAAATTCGTTAGAGTATTCACGACCTCTCCCTACATAAAAGCAAAGGTCGAGGTCAGCCACTTTGAAGAAGTCCCCTACGTTGATAGGGGTGCTAGGACCACCACTCCAGTGATTGCGCCACTTTCCCGCCCCCCCCCCCCAAGCGTCAGTAAGGCTTGAGACGCCTGGGAATTTGGTCACCGTATGCCCAGAGGGATCCTATGCCCGCCCACCATTCAATATCCCATCTGTGCCGTTGTCTGATGCCATGCCCTCCCAATTACGAGTTCTTTCCCCTCTTCGCGGCTCACATTATCTCTTATGTCGCTGTCTGGCCTTACTATATAGAGCAAAGAGGCCATACTCTGTGTTGACAGTTTCTTTTCCTCTCTTCTGCGCTTGCAGTTTGCAGTACCTTCAGAAGGGTAAGTTTTTGTATTAAATACTGCCTATTTAGAAAACGCCCCGCTCACCACAGCTGGCACGCCGTACTCGAAGGGTGGAGATCGGTCGAGGATCCGTCAACATTTCTTCGAGGATATTCGAATGTTTACTCACGCTCTCCCGCGCAAACATTCACTCACAACGCTATTCTCATATAGTGCAGGGCCATCGTCGAGGACTTCGTCGACCGTTATTCACCCTATGTTCTCGGATCAGCATGAAGCTCACCTTAACCCGGTTCTTGTGCTCCCTAGGCAGTTTTGGGACAGAATTGCGAATTTCGCTATCGGCCTCTAACCATTTCAGCTCTCCACTGGAGCGCCCGGGTTCTATTTTGATCCATGCAGCTCTGCTATGCTCACCAGACCCGAAGTGATCTAGCACTCTGAGGAAAACTGGATTTGCGAAAGACCAGACAGATCCAGGGGATTCTTACACAAGTGGACTACTGGTGCGAATCATTACAATCACAACCGTCGTGTGGTACGAATTAAGCACTGAAACATCAACAAGAACCAAACACCCCCAATAAAGCATCTAAGAGTCCGCGTGCCAACAGCGCAACACAAATTCATGACTAAAGACAGACCTTCCATGTTTTCACCCAAGCTATCAAATGAGTGAATTTTATCTTATTCCCAGGTGCATTCGTAATATGCGGAAAGGCAGACCAAAAGAAACGTAATGAAAAACTTGCAAGTAACAATGAACCTTTGCCGTGACCGTAATTATCTCCCATCGTGGCAATGTGAACAGGAGCACCTTTGAGCGGCAGAACATGAACAGCATACGGACAGGACATATCGTAATGTCTCAGGAGCTCCGAACCAATTGTCTGAAATACGAACAAGTAAATGTATCCTTCAACCAATCATGTGAATTCTGACCTTTACTATTTTCATTTCCACCTTATCGATTTCCACTATATAAATGCGATCGCTATTCATACATGGCACAACCATATGAGTTCGTAGCACCTGGAATCGTTCATCATTTAGACTCCCTAATTACTGAAATTCTTTTTAAAATTTATACAAACAAATCCACTGACGTTAGGTATAGCCTGTATACTGGCAGCAGATCTGGTCCAATTAATTCGTCCAGGTTCGTCGCCGACATCAGGAAAGTTTAACGTAGAGATCACCTGAACGATTTTTTTTGCAAAATCTTACGACCACATATATATTGCATATGAGCGAAAGTGGTGTAGTGGCAAGTGGGGCTGCTTAAAGCAACAGTCCCAGCAGGGTGGGCGTGGTCGGAAACGGCTGCAATCCCCTCGGCCGATTCCCACTTCGGAGCTGTTCAGCCCCTAGTCAAGAACGTAAGAAGTGTGACTGAACAAAAACTCACCTTGGAAAGCCGCTAGGAGGGAGCTGAAGTGGGCGTGGTCGGAATCGGCCGAGGGGATTGCAGTCGTTTCCGACCACGCCCACCCTGCTGGGACTGTTGCTTTAACACGCATACTGCCTGAGGTTGAATTCTGGGACGCATAACCTACAAGTCAGCCAACAAGCCCATCCTCCAGGGTTGGTCAATTAGTACCAGACATGTTCATGAGGATGAAGCCTAGCTTGCCAAACGGCTGGTTCCACAATTCGTTGAGGTTGGGGGCGGGAAGCATGGCAAAGGCAAATCGCATTCCTGGGTTGTTCCCAATGAATGTCGTTTACAGATGTATATAAAATAAGTGGAAGCGGCAGCAGCTCGACACCTTAGAAAAAAATGGATTCTATCTAATGCATGAGGCTTCGCCATTTGTCACGCAGAGATTCCACGTTCTCTTCGAAGGATGGGAGCAACTGTGCGCTGGCAAGCATGGAATACCGGATCGGAATTTCCTGCAATC